GAAAGTGATGATGATAAATACCGAATGTGTAGTGCTGACTGTGCCTGTCCCTGTTCTAAGTGCTTTATATTCGGCCCTCCAATAATCCCACAAAGTCGATACTGCTATTATATCCCCGTTGTGCGGACGAGGTGGCTGAGCACACTGTTAAGTCGCGCAGCGTGGCTTTGATAACTGCTGGTTGAATTGAGTTAGAACTAATAATGTAGGTAATATGGGAAGCTGTGGAGTCACACATCGTCATTCAGAGCAAGAGAATAGCTAAAGAGGAGCAGAGAGCCAAGATTGAGCTCACTGCTTTCATCACTTTGTTTTCCAACTCAGAAGTCTTTATTTGCTCCTACTGGAACAAAAGATAAAATGTCAGCTCCTTAGTCAGACTGTCAAATCTTTACATAATCCGTGCCCAGCCTACTTGGGTGTCTTGTTCCCTGTGTGATTGCACCGCTCCGTGAGATCATCTCTCTGCCCTCCCTTACACTCGCTCTCCTCCTTCTCGTTAACTGAAGTCCTCTCCAGCATTCAAGGACCCCCTGTAGCCTTGAAGCCTTCCCTGATGCCTCCAGTGCAGAAACCAATCATAGTTACTGCATGTCAGGTGCTTCCTGAGAGCTCAGGAAATGAGAAACAGGTAGCAGGCTCCTACTTTGTTCTTTCTGGTCATTTGTGTTTTGTTTTCATCAACATCTTAATAAAATGATGGAAATGTTTTAAATAAGTAGCTCATCTACTTTTAGGAGGATCAGAGATGACTTGGAAAATCAAATGTCTCACTGTAAATTGAGATCATTAATTTGGAAGTATATTTTGCTTTGAATGGCCATTTCTGCTTGAGTTGGGTCACTGAGATTAAGAATATATACTTGAAATTGTATATGTGTCCTGAGCTTTCTATCAGGCACTAGTGTGTGGAATGGCAAAGCAGGATCAGAGGACCCCAGCAGATGACAACTGGCCTCGATCGGGAGCTTCCGGGCCAGATAGGATGACAAGACGTGGGCATAAGAGGAGTCATGATGGGTCCATCAGCAGCAGTTGGGCAGCTCTTGAAGTGAATCTGGTTCTCAGACTTGTTTATACTGCTTAGCGTTTTTAAAGAGATTCAGTTAGGGCACCTGGGTGGCTCAGTCGGTTAAGCGACTGCCTTCGGCTCAGGTCATGATCCTGGAGTCCCGGGATCGAGTCCCGCATCAGGCTCCCTGCTCAGCAGGGAGTCTGCTTCTCCCTCTGACCCTCCCCCCTGTCGTGTGCTCTCTCTCTCTCATTCTCTCTCTCTCAGATAAATAAAAAAATAAAAAATAAAAAAAATAAAGAGATTCAGTTACTTGCCAAAATTTATAACTCAGGATATTTCACATAAAAATCCCATTTATGAGCTTCCCTGGAAAACCCAGAAAATCAGACAACCCTGAGGGAACAATGAGCTAGAGTGACACCTGTCTGCAGGCCCCATGCTCTCTGGTTGTCCATGATCCCCACTCCCCACTGCATTGCATCCTGCCCGCACTCCTCATTTATGCTACTTGCTGGTGTTTGTGACCGTTACAGGTCAGTCAGGGTGCCATGTGATTAGGACAGGAAATGTTACGGGATTTCAGAAGGAATAGAGATCACTTTGGAGGACACAATATAGTGGAAAGAATATAAGCTTTAGAGCTAGGCAATCTAAGTCCAAATACTAGCCCTGCCTTCCTCCTGCCAGCCTTCTGCCTTAGAGATGTGCTTTCCCTCCAGCTCCCTTTGCTTATGATAAGATGGAAAATATCACCTCCCTTACAGGGTTGTAGTGAGCATGAGCAATGGTGTACATATAGTTCCTAACATACCTGGCACCTGGGCAGCATACACTGTGGTTGATCCTGTCCAAAAAGTCTGGCAGGATGCCTTGGTGTAAGTATTTGGAAAATGTTATAAAAAGAAGCCTTGGGGTGGGGGGGGGGGGGTGGAAGCCAAATTCCAAGTAGATTAAAGAGTGAAATCTAAAAAAATGTAAACCTTTTTTTTGTTGTTAACCAAAAAGGAAATGCAATTGTATATTTAACTTCCCCCAGGATGAGAAAAGACTTGCTAAGCATAAAAACCATGAGGGAGAACCAAAGAAAGGTCAGAGATGACTCTGAAAGTTCTTGAGCTACTCTGTGTTAGATATCAACATAGTTAAAGGACAAATAGCAAATGAGAAAAGTATTTGCAGAAAGTATGACAAAGGGTAAATATCTCACTATCTGTGGTTACAGATCAATAAGAAAAATACTAACGTCTGTAGAACAATGGACAAAGAATGTGAACACAGAATTCATAATACAATAAATGCAAATGGCAAATAGGCGTGTGAAAAAATGTTGAACCGGGTTAGTAGTTAAAGAACTCTCTGTTTGAATAATGAATTGTTACTTTTCCACTAAATTTTTTTTTCATCATTGTCAGTTGGTAATGTTCAGTATTGGTAATGTGACTAGAAGATAGGTACTGTAGTATTTTCCTGATGGAATTATAAATTGTCACAACCTTCTTAAGAAAGCAGTTTGCTACTATAGGTCAGACTGCTTTAAAGTTCATATCCTTGGATCCAGTCATTCCATTTTTGAGAATATATCCTTAGAAAAATACTCAGGAATGTTTTGCCCGGGATCTACTTGTAGTAGCCTTTTCCTTCCTTCCTTCCTTCCTTCCTTCCTTCCTTCCTTCCTTCCTTCCTTCCTCCCTCCCTCCCTCCCTCCCTCCCTTCCTTCCTCTTCCTTTCTTTTCTTCTTCTTTTTTTTAAGCAGTATGGGTATATTAAAATCTCAGTGTCCAGCAGTGTGTACCTCATTGCTATATTCTTAGCATTAGCACAGGCCTGACATATACGGTGGTCAAAAAATATTTGCGAGTTTAAAGAAGGAAAGATATGTTCATATAAAGGAATATTATATAACCCCATTTCTGAAATACCGTACATTTGAGATGTAAAAACATACTCACAATATAATGTTCAAAATGTAGAGTACATAATTCTATATAGAGAATGTTCCCTGTACATGCATTGCATGAATTCTGGATGATAGGATTATGTTTTCTTGGTGCTCTTCCTCATTCAGCACATATTTATTGATGTGTGTGTTGGGCACCGAGCAAATTTCAAAAGGGCAAAACAACATAGTCTTCTGTTCATGGAGTTTAACAGAGAGAAGGAAGGCAGGCATCGAACCAGTGATTTCCATGTGTCATTTACTTTAGTGAACTTGTGTCACTTTTATTCTGTAGAGAGAAAAACTCTGCTGCTGATGATTTTCAAGCACTGATTGTTGGTTGTAATTTCTAAGACACCTTTTTAGGACAAGAAAGGAGCAGTTACATGAAAAATCTACATAGAGCTTATAAAATGTGAAGTTACCTTTTCAATGAAAACAAACATGTTTAGGTTTCCTGTCTGTTGAATGGTTAGTAATGACAGAATGACAAATACACCCAGACTTTTTCCCCTAATAACCATTTTTCTAAAGGAAGCCAAATAGGCTTGTGTCAGGAGGCGGAGGTGGGAGTATAGAACTTCAGGAAGGCCCAGCACTCTTTGGGAATCATAATTGCATGTTTTAATGAACTGGCTGTCCTTGGGGAGGAGGGGAGAGTGTTGATCAGAATTAATATAAAAGTATATATTTTTTGCTTTTTTCATCTACTTGTGAAATTTCGTGTGGAAAACCAAATCATCAACAACAAAACCCACCCTGTAGACTGATTGTGACCCTAAAAAGCCTCTTTTTAAAAAGTAAGCTCTATGCCCTATGTGGGGCTTGAATTCATAGCCCTGAGATCAAGAGTCACATGCTCTACTGACTGAGCCAGCGAGGCACCCCTAAAAAGCCTCTTTTTACTGGGATCATGGGTGGAAAATTTTATCCTAAGCCATGTTTTTTTAGGGGCGTGTTCTGTTTTGTTTTGTTTTGAAGAAAGACCTGAGTAAATCAAAAGGGTCACAGAGCTGTGTTTTGGTAACTTAACCATGCTTAATAGCTGTGAATGCACTCCTCTAAACAGTCTGACCCTTGCTTCTAGCATTGCTTATCCATTTATCAGTTTGGGCCTTTATGCACAGCCACATGAGCTCCGCTGGCCTTTTATCTGCTTCCTAAGTGGAAAAAGTCTCTGTGTGTCTTGGTTAAGTTAAAGGGTGGCTCTGGGGTCTGTTGGCACTCTGTCCTCAGAAGGACACATTTGTGAGCTCTGTGTTGCCTTAGTAGAATCCCTTGCCCTCTTTTCTATCTCCTACAGATTAGGAATGCACTTTCTGAGCCAAGGATGTTGGAGGGGACAAATAGCAAGCAGCAAAGTGATGACATCACCTCGAATAGTGGGTGCCCTGGGTATCGCTCTCTTTTGGGGACTGATCAAGAGTAGCTCTATCCCAAGTGAAAATTCTCCCTCTTCTGCTTTTAGGTACAACTAAAGATTATATTGGATGTATGTTTAAAAGAAACCTGAGGCTTTCTCTCATTTGAAAAATTCAGATCTTAGGAACATAAAGTGAAACACGGCTCTGTTGAACATCACTTTCCATCAGGGCTGATATTTCCCCTTTGCATATGGAATTCTCTCTCACTTGCTGGTTCTGTTCCCGCCATGTGTTTCCAGGCAGAATTACAGTGCTCACCCCTTCTCTTCCACTGGCCTTGGTGCCCCTTCCTTCCCAGGAATGTTTTTCCTGTTCGAAGAGTTCTTGGTCTCAGGATTGGCTTCATGTCTGGTTCAGCGCCTTTCCTCTCTATTTTGTTTTGCGACCCTCCTTGTGTCTGTGGTTGAGTTACAGAAGAAGGTCCTACCTCACTCCCTGAGGATGCAGTATACAGAGGGCAGGAGAACACCTGCTCCTCGCTGTGTTGAACCTTGATCTGGTAACTGACTTTACAGCTTAAATCAAGAAGCCTTGAGCCCTCTAATCTCATGGATGATGCACTCCCTTCTGGTATGTTTTCTCCAGTACGACATACATCTCCTTTGGTTGGAATCCTTTTTTTCAGAGAGCCGCCTTTTGCTTCACTGAGATGCAGCTGGACCACCTGAGGACAGGGTCACCTTCCCACCGCTCCCTTGTTGGCTGAGGGGTCAGAGGTTAATGCTTCAGCACTTACTTGCTACTGGAGAAGAAAAGGTGGCAGGCACAGTTAAAATCAATCACTGAAACCAAAAGTTATTTCAAACATTGCTTTTATCTTCTGCCTGTAAAAGTTATGACTGTGCTCCACAAAGTCACTGCCAGGGGCTGGGACCTGGAACTTAAACTGTTTGTGCAAGTTCATTATTGTTTTGATTTTGATTTTCCTGAGGGAAATCATTGTAAATAGTTGTGTTCTCAGAGGCACCCCTACAGTAATAAACATAAACACAGTATTGCAGGGAAATCAATCCTGCAGTAACCCAAATGCAATCCCTTGCATTAGAAGTGAAGTAGATGAATGGTTGGATCTGCCCAGAATGGAAGAGGAAAGATCAGGAAGCTCGGGTCTCAACTCTTGACAAGCTCTTTGTCAACTGCGAAGGAGGAGTGACCCCCACCTTTTGGCTGTTTTGCAGGCCGTGCCTGAAGCTTCATTAGAGTACTGGACATGAATTGACTTTGGGCTCTCTGGAAGAGAGGGGCAGTGTAAATACAAGGCATTTCTTTTTTTTTTTTTTTTTTTTTAAGATTTTATTTATTTACTTGAGACAGAGAGAAAGAGAGAGAGCACATGAGAGGGAGGAGGGTCAGAGGGAGAAGCAGACTCCGTGCTGAGCAGGGAGCCCGATGCGGGACTCGATCCAGGGACTCCAGGATCATGACCTGAGCCGAAGGCAGTCGCTTAACCAACTGAGCCACCCAGGCGCCCAAATACACGGCATTTCTATCTGAAGTGCTCAGGAGTTGTGACCTACGCTCCAAGGCTTAAACAGCCAGTCTCAGTTTGCAGCCCTGTTCTGGTCAAGCCAGAGCTCCCTTCTTTAAGAAAATCTTGCTGTTGACTGTTCTGGAAAGAAACAAGAATGTATCTCCAAGACACCAGAGGAGCTATAGGAAGAGTCGTAATCAGTTTTAACATAGGTACCCATTAGTGAATTAGCGTGAAATGTAAAAAGGCGATGAGAACGTACCACACCATGTCTTGTTTAAAAGCCCATTTTTTCCACACCGACTATGGCAAAACACAGAGCACAGCATAAAGCAGATGTAAAGAGTTATTGTATAAATGACTTCACTTCTTCAAGGCCAGAATGGGCTCTTCTGCAATGTTAGATGCTGATGACAATAATATCTGGCACTTACACTGTATTTAATATGTGCCAGTCTCCAAGTGACTTACACAGACTGCCTCTGTGGAGGCTCACAACAGCCCTGGGTGGCAGGTCCTGTTGTCATCTCCATTTTACAGATGAGTAAATTAAGGTAGAGAATGGTGACACAACTTGCCTAAGGCCAGACGGCTGCTGTGGGCAGAGCCAGTAGATGAACCCCTACAGCCTAGCTGCAGAGGGGTCTGCATTTCTTGACCACTCTCTGGTTCCATTGCATCTTGATCACACAAGCAAACAATGTAGTGCAATGAATGCTGTTTTCTAGGAAGAGAACGGAGACTACACGTATGTGGAAAGAGTGAAGATACCCTTGGATCATGGGACCTTGTTAATCATGGAAGGAGCGACACAAGCTGATTGGCAGGTGAGAACATGCAAGGAATTTGGATTCACATGGAGGCAGTGCCCTGACGGCTTCTGATTATTCATTTATCTAGTAAATATGGTGAAAAGCAAGTTGCTTTTATCATGAGCGAGAGGCGGTACAGTGATAACCATTTTCAAGTTTTGATTCTGACAGTCAGAATGGACCTCTGCAGCAGTGCGTCCAGTAGAACTTTCTGTGACAGTGGAAATAGTCTGCATCTCTTTAAGTCCCCAGGTAGTAGCCACTGGGCACACGCAACTATTACTGATCTTCTGAGATGTGGCTAGTGTGTTGAAGGACTGAATTTTTAATTTAATTTAAATTCATTTCAGTAGCTTCAGGTAGCCAGTGGCTGGCTGTTGGGCACAGCTTCTCACCTTAGGCTGTGCTCTTCTAAAGCCAGGTCATCTTTAAGGTGTGCAAGTTCATGGAAGAATGCTTAGCATGGGAGCAGAATCTCATGCCTGCCTTTGGTCTCAGTCATTTATGTGTTGCCTTATGAGATTTGGGAAAATGGCAGGAAGCTGCGAGGAAGAACAACAATTAGAAAAGATAAAAACAAAACACCTCACTGTGAGGGCGCTGGCTTATCAGAGTGATTGGGGGGCGGGTTTACTTCAGAGAAGAAAACCTTTCTCCACAAGACTTCAAAGAGCTTATTGATGCTCATGGGGGGTTAAGGAATGACGAAGTCAAAATATGTCCATGTCGTCATAAATTTGTTTATGTCAGAGTTATTTATATTTCCGTTTAGCATCGAGTGCCCAAAGAGTACCACTCTAGAGAACCAAGAATAAACCTGACCTTTCGGACAGTTTATCCAGACCCTGGAGGGGCGCACTGGTGATGTGAAATCTTAGAGAGAAGCTGTGCTGAGATTGAGCCAAGCTTCCGCTGTGAAGAAACTTCCAGAGGCTGGTCCAGCTGATCTCGTGGGGTGGCTGTTTGGAAGACAAGGATGAGATTTGCTTCCCAGCCTTGGAGTCCTATTAAATGACAGCTAGCAGTTCATGTTCATACTATGTTTACTGCGGGAACAGTACTCCCTAATCACATCTTGAAATCACATTATCTTCTTTAGGCAAATTAAAAGCTGTTGTGGCTGTGTTCACGGGTGATTCTGTCTGTAAGCAGTTTCTCTCCTGCCCTCCCTGCTTCATTTGAGGCAACGTGAATGGGCTTTGCCTCCAGGGTAAACGTGCACGTGTTTGTTCCTTGTGACTTCGTGAAGTAGGATATAAATATGTGTCAGCAACTCTGGAGCCCTCCGCAGGCAGACAGCTGCCGAAACCCAAACAGAGGTGGCCTCACAGAGCCTCGTGGAAGTCTGCCTTGACTCCTCAGCATCTTGGCTTGCGTGCTTTTGCAATGGAAAGCTGCATATTCTGGGAGCACTTTATTTAACCGAGTCTCCTTCCTGGGACAGACCCAGACAGGTTACAGGCCTCTGAAGAAAGAGTGGAGGCTTGGGCGCCTGGGTGGCTCAGTTGGTTAAGCGACTGCCTTCGGCTCAGGTCATGATCCTGGAGTCCCGGGATCGAGTCCCGCATCGGGCTCCCTGCTCGGCAGGGAGTCTGCTTCTCCCTCTGACCCTCCTCCCTCTCATGCTCTCTGTCTCTCATTCTGTCTGTCTCAAATAAATAAATAAAATCTTTAAAAAAAAAAAAAAAAAAGAAAGAAAGAGTGGAGGCTGTGTCCTGTAACCCAGCCATCTTTAGGCAGCCGCCTGGATACTTGTAATACGAGAGAAAACTGTCCCCTCAGAGGGAGAAGTTAATTGAGTGATGTCATGAGACATTTAGGCCGAAGAGCAGCAAATGTCCTGCTAGTGACAGCTGTCCCACGTAGATGAGTTTCCCCTAGAGAATGACTGGAATCATTTAAACCCAAGCCAGAGAGAAGCAGGAGCAGTCCTGTGGGGATAGACTCAGTTACCTAATAGTTGTCTTTACCTGAAGTTCCAGGAGCCCTGTGACGAAGGCTGTCTTCTGACTCAGTGCTCTCTTAGACACAAGTTCCCGAGATTCGACAGTTAGTCCATGATGTCACCAAGGTTCCCAAAACAGAACAGAGTGGCTGCCCTTTCTTGCATCATAAAATCACATGTCTTCTTGACCTCTTGACTTAGGAGCACTGTGCTGCTGGGTTGATTCCAAACCAAGATAGGGAAAACTCGAGAGAAAATGGAATCAAATGGATGAAAACAGGGCAAGAGAGTTAGAGTTTCCATAGCTGCCTGCTGCGAAAACGTACAGAGCCTTCTTTTGATCTTGTTTCCATTCCATGCTAGAAGACGAATGGCCTCGGTGATGGTGGTCAAGTGCCAAAAGCTGGCCAGGCTCTTCCCCAGAACTCAGATGCAACACCAGGCCTGGCGGGCTCTGCCTTCTGACAAGCTTTCTGGCTTCTTACATTGGGGTTCCCCTCACACTTTTTTTTAATGTTTTGCATGTGGATAGCTCCTTTCTGTAAGAAATATTAAATGCTTTATAAAATCTGAGCATCACAATAAGCCTTTCAATGAGGGCGATGCAAATGGCCATAAAAATCAAATAAAACCTCTAATTCCGAGCTGTTTTCCTATTAAACAAAACCTGACCAGGGTGGTAGAGCCAGCTTCAGTTGTGAGTTTGATGCATGACATGGGGAAATTCCTCTCGCACAGACGAAAGAACTGGCAGATGGCTCCCAGTCTCACGGCATCCCTCCTAATGTAGGGTCATGGCCTTCTCTTGTGTTAGCTGCACATTTGATCTCTTCACTCATCACGGCTATGGCTGTCGGGGAAATGAGTTCCTGCTCCCAGCCCACAGCCTGAGCCACTAGCGGGACTTCTTCAGCTTAGAGCAGCAGTCTTGGCTTTTGTTTCTTGCTGCCCAATGCTAGGACTACCCCCCACACACACACCTTTTTTTAAAAAAAAAAACAACTAAGATAATCTCCCTTTTGAAATGACAAGTAGGTCCTTGCCATGGAGTTAAAGGACAGGGTTTAGGACTGCACAGAAATTTTCAGAACCTGGCAAAGGATGCTCCGTGACTGCACCAACCCGTTGCTGTGTTTTACTGGCCGTAGATCTTAACTAGGAATTAGGGGCTGAGCTACTTTGCCAACATTACTTGTAAAGCAGAGGCAGCAAATACAACAATGTAGCATGAAGAAAAACAGCTTTAGTTTTTTGCTGCCCTTTTTTTGAGCTTTAATAACCAGCCAAGAACTGTCCTGGAAGCTTTTTCTATGTAATCCTGTGTCCTTCCTAACAGCCTGGCAGGAAAGAGATGCTCTTCCCATTGCATAGAGACCAGGCAGCTGAGCCCCCCAAGAAGGGTTAAGTGATTTAATATGACTTCAAAGCAGCAGAACCAGAATTCAAACCACAGGTGAATCCTTAAACTGTGTGCTTTTTCCTCTGCCATGATGAATTTAGGCAAAGTAGTTTACTGGGCATCCCTGAGAGCCTGAACCTCAGCACTTGCTCCTGCAGAGCTGGCCACCCAGCTCACCCTGGGACCCCATGGGCAGAGCTGACTACCAGGCCACCTTGTTTGTCCTCTGGCTTTCCTGTATGTGAGGGCAGGCATCTGTATCTCCTCTCTTCCTGATCAACACTAGCAGCTCCTAGTCCGAAACCGTGTTGCCAACTGGACTCATAATTGGCCATTTAACTAAGGAAGCTCATTTTGAGGGGAGAGAATCCAGTTTCTGGCAGGTTAAATTCTCGTCCAACCTTCCTGTGACCCAGAACAGTGTTTCCTGATCGTATCCCAGCAGACTCTCTGAGGTGGATGCATGGTCCCGTCCTCTCTTCATGTTTATCTGTGAGTACCTCTGGGGGCTCTGAATGACACCCAAACTCAGCATCAGGCTTCTTCGTGATACTTAACAACAGCACTACTGAAGTCAGCAGACAGCCCAAAGAAACGGGTCGGGTTGTACACTAAAAATGTCTTGACGACAGGCAGCTTGCTTCGGAA